TGGATGATAGATTCCCGGTCTGTCAATATCAAAACATTACCCAATTAATAATTGGGTTCCACTACATAACCATAAGTTCATGCTTTGGGTAATTACTACATTACCCCTATATTGGCTTATTTAAGCCCAAAGCCCAATCCAAAGGCCCAAAAGTCCAACTATGGCTCAAAGCCCAACATATGGCCCAATTTTCCAAATTGGGCCCAAACCTTTACATGGTCTCATTCTAAGGCCCAACATCATATAATCATTAAGGCCCAAACTATGGCCCATCTATGGCCCAATTTTCCAAATTGGGCCCAAACCCCTTACATGGGCCTTACCCTAGGCCCATTAAATATTCTAGTCCATTTGCTTAACTTTGGATGACCTATTAATATTGCAATCATCAAGGCCCAATAGAAGGCCCAACAATACACCCATGTGAAATTAGGGTTTCACATAAAATGACGATTAGGGTGTGTTTCTCACTTAACCCATTAAGGACTTAATCCATTAAGTCCATCATTCTTCTAAATGAGTCATATGGTGTGATTGGGCTTAATCACACAATTCCATTATTCCAATGGCCCACAAGTGGGTCTCAATAAGTCCAAGCCCATAAATCCAATATTAGGGTTTTCTAAAACCTAATTAGGGTTTCCAATCCCATCTTAGTCCAATAGGCCCAATTGATATGTCTTTTGATCAATTAAGGTTCATTAGGCCCATTAGGGTTTCACTAGGCCTATCAAGCCTAATTGGGCCCATTAGGGTTTGTTAGTCTATTTGTCCAAACATCCAAACAAGTCACAATCCAACAAGGCACACCGCCACCCGACACGGCGGCCGGTGGCGGCAGGAGGCGGCAACCACCACCCTACGGTGGTGGTTTCGAGTTTCTTTCCATTATTCTATTTTTTGATACAAATTACAATGCTAAAAACTCAAATAAACACACACACTAAACAAAATAAGCACACACAGGCGGCACATGGCGGTAGCCACCACCGTGAGGTGGTGGCGGTGGTGGTTCTTGCGAGTTCTGATCAAACAAATCACACACAACATGCACTTAACAGAAATACACACACGCACGTTTTGTTGCCTGCAACTTGGACTCAGCCACCCTCTTGGTGGCGTACGGTGGCGGCAACAAAGGATTTCATGATGGCAGCGGCGACAGGAGCGGCAGTGGTTGGCGGCAATTATGCCTTGCACGGAGACAGCGCCACGACAGAAGAAGGAACGAGGAGAGAGTGAACGACCCAACCATGCACCACAACGGCCTTCCACGGTCGTCGGCGTTGATTCCCACAACTGAAACCACCATAGGTGGCGACCAAAAGCCGTTAACTAATAAATAAACGGGTGTTACAGCTAGGGTCCCAACATAATTGTATAAAAAAAAATAAACTATCAGTACTTTAGCATCTTAAGACAAGAACATAAAAGAATTATAAACAGTGGCAGATTCAGAATAAAAAGTCAGGCGTTGAACAAATTTTTCAGGAATTGCACTACTAGAAAAAACTCATTTCTCAAGGCAGTTTCCGTTACAAATCGTCAATAAATCCACGAATTTACACTAAATTCACAATTATCAGACTTTGTGATGGATTGTCAACGGATTCGTGGCGGATTTTGACGAATTTTCACTAAATTTACATTTCACAGGGAAATTTGAAGGGTAGCCCGTCCTACCCCGTGCAACAATGTAAATCCGCCCAATATTATAGGGAGTGTTTGGTAATGTTAAAAAATTGTACATATTTAAAATTGTGGTCGATCTTAAAAAAAAAAGAAGAAAGAAACATATATATCACTACAAGGATCGAACCCTATGCAGACGACAATTCTGGACACTGTACCGACGACATGTCGTCGGGAAAGCTTATACAGACACTATGTCGTATGTAAAAAGTCGTCGCCATAGCTCCGTCGGTTGAAGTTGAAAATGTGGTCGGGTCAGGAGTCGTCTATACAGATTAACCAATCCAAACGACATGTCGTCAAAGGGTCGTATTCACAAGTATATAAAAAATATATACTCGAGAAGTAAAAATCAGACGGAATGGATAGAGTATTCACAATGGTTATGAAGAAGAAACTTAAACTAAAAATCAATGATTCAACGTGTTTTAATAAAAAAAAAATCATATTATACAGTATGTTATTTAAACCATAATTTTAAAAATACGATGTTATGATAGAAAATAAACAAAAGTATAATGTTATAATTAACGAAAGTATCATAATTTTGTTTATTTTCTATTATAGCATCGTAATTTTAATATTATATTACATAATATTTTTTTGTTTAAAAAATATACCGTTTTAATTTGATTTTATAATTAATTTAATTAAAATGTATAATTAATTTAATATTTTCTTTTATGTTATTAGTTTAATTTTTTAAATTAAATTAATTTGATTTTATTATTAGTTTTATTTTATTTTAATATTAATATTAATTTGATTTAATAATTAATTTAGTTTGATTTTATAATTAATTTAATTCTATTTTAAAATTAACTTAATTTGATTTTATAAATAATTTAATATTTTCGTTTTGTTATTAGTTTTTTTTTTAAATTAATTTAATTTGATTTTCTAATTAACTTTAATTTATTTAAAAATTAATATTAATTTGATTTTAAAACTATTTGATTTTACAATTAATTTAATATTTTCTTTTTATTGATTTTTTTTTTAAAAATTAATTCAACTTTATTTTATAATTAATATAAAATTACTAAAAGTATGTTGCTATTAATAACCTAATTAAGCTAAAGTCGTAATGACCAACATTAAGTCACTAACAAAATTAAGCACTTTGAAACCATATTAACAAGAAAATAAAAACATAATAAACTTCTAATATAATCGTACATGTAAATACAAATACTTCAACTTATAAGATACTTTAACTTATCAATTAAGCACTTTACAGTACAAACAATAGCATCTAAATACAAAAACTATAACTTATCAATTAAGAACTTTATCACTTCATCTTATATACACTAGAACTATTAAACCTAAATATCACATAATCATACATGTATACAATACATTCAATTCCAATTTTCATTTCATTTAGACATACAATATCACTTTCATATTCCAATTTCATACAATTAAGCATACAATACATCCAATTCAATTTCCAATTTCTAACAATTAAGCAATACATCCAATTTCATACAATCATACCTCATAGCCGTAACATTTTAGACATCAAATTTAAATTTCATACAAATGTATACATCTAAATACAAAATCAAACAACATGCCTAATTTCATTTTCATGCCAATATACCACAATGAGTATCAACAAATCATGCCTAATTTCATTTTGATTTTCATGCCAAAACACACTTTCATACCTCAAAATGCATATATAAGCAATCAACCAAACAAAATTTGAGAAAAAATATATATCATGGTGTATTGACAGGAAAAAAAATCATAAACGTGATTCACGTACTGTGGTGTATTAACAGGAAAAAAAATCACAAAACTTACCTCAAAATCGATGGTGAAGATAGCTGAATCACCAGAAATCGTTTTCTTCGGCGGTGGAAAAGGCTGTTGCCGGCAGTGATGAAGGCTATGAATTAGGGCTCCAACAACCGGAAATAAATCCCCCAAAATCGGAGTAAAAACTCAAGCTATCACAAATTAAGAAGAAAAAGGACCAAGAACCATACCTTTAGGTCGCCGATGAACGGGAGTGGCCAGAGAATCGCCTGTGTCGCCGACAGCTTGAGAGGGAAAAGAATGGCAGCGACTGCAAAATGAACGTGGGTCGCGACTTTTGTTATAGGGAAAGCCTATGCCGACAACAAATCATCGGTATAGGTAGAACAAAACTACGTCGTTCCACTTTATGTCATTAAAAAAATTTTAAAAAAAAAAAGAGTTTTCCAGATGACATATTGTCTGGACAGATATTTCACACGGATCGATCCAACTTTTTCCAGACAACCTGTCGTCGGTATAGGATTACGAAACGACATCGTCTTACTTTTCTACGACACAGATTAAAAATAAATCAAAATAATTTTTTTAATACCCTATATAGACGACATGTCGTCTGCATAGGTTGATGAAAACGACGTCTTGATTTTCTACGACAAGGAATATAAATAAATCGAACTTTGACATATGTCGTCGGCAAAAACCAAGCTATGATGACGACACACTACAAGAAGAACAGCGTGTACAGACGACACCTATCCAGACGACATATGTCGTCGGCAAAAGCCAAGCTATGCAGACGACATGCCGTATGTACAACATTTTCCAACTTTGACCATATTTCTTTGACCAGAAAAGCTATGCAGACGATATGTCGTCGGCATAGGTTTTGAACATACCGCCAATATTTTGCCCCTTCCGGCCAAGTCTATGCAGACGACATGTCGTCTGCATAGCTTTTATGGTCAAAGAAATATGGTCAAAGTTGGAAAATGATGTACATACGGCATGTCGTCTGCATAGCTTGGCTTTTGCCGACGACATATGTCGTATGATTAGGTGTTGTCTGTACACGCTGTTCTTCTTGTAGTGTATCGTAATTAAGCCCTATCCACGTGTATGCAGCCATAATTTTTGCTCTACTATATACAGCAATAATTAACCTTAATTAGACTAGGCAACTTACGTATGACTGAACCCGATTGTGATTATAACCCATCGTCGGTGCATTACCACCGTCTCTGCAGGGCAAATGTGGAAAGATCGACGGCTGTTGGGTAACTGATAACTTATTAAGAAAATCCGACCATACAATCGGAAATGCCATAGAACCAATAATTAAAATGTTAAAGTTAAAGATACCTTCACTTTAAACGAGTTCGACTTTACCTCTTGCTTTTATTGTTCTCTCTTGCTTTGTTCTTTAATTTGTTTAGGTTATACGTTGAGCTACTTTATGGCTGGGTAATTCATTTTTACAGAAAATATACTCTCGTGAAACACGTGAGATGAAAAAAAAAAAAGTTTATATAAAGATAATGCCAGTCACTCTATTATGTAAACAAATTCATCATCTTGATTCCACCAACTTTCAAGTAGAGATGGGCAACATTCGTTCATTTCTACTCTTCATTTGCATCACTCTGATTCATCTCTTCGCTATCAATGGCGAAGTTGCTCCAGAAGAAACATTCCAGACAATCACAGTTGGTGGTGGTGGTGCTCCATTGACAGAACCACTACTAGCCACCGGTGGTTTCCAGAGTGACCGACTAGCACAAGCCTATAAAGTAATCCAAGCATTCAAGAAGAAGGTGACATACGATCCCAAAAACTATACAAAAACATGGGTGGGAAAAAACATATGCAGAGATTACAAAGGGTTCATTTGTGACGTAGTACCGGATCTTAACAAAACCACCGTCGCCGGAGTCAACTTCAACAACAACAACTTCAATGGCCCTAACCTAACCGTTAGTGAACTCTTAATCGGTTTAAAGGATCTCGCTTTCTTCCATGCAAACTCTAACAACTTCACCGGCATCATTCCCTCCGATATAAGCAAACTCCGGTACTTTCTCGAGCTTGATCTTAGTAACAACAATTTCTCCGGTAAATTTCCTTACGAAGTCCTCCATGCCAAGAAGTTAGTATTCCTCGACCTCAGGTTCAACACTTTTCTCGGAGGAGTTCCTCCGCAGGCTTTCCTTCTCCAACTCGACTTGCTCTTCATCAACAACAACAACTTCAAGCAAACACTCCCCAAGTACCTTGGTTTTACGCCGGCGCTTTATCTAACCCTGGCTAACAACAAATTCGTCGGTGGAATCCCTAGGAGCATTGGTAGAGCTGCCAATACCTTACGGGAGGTTCTTTTCTTGAACAACAAGTTAAACGGTTGTTTGCCATATGAGATCGGACTTCTGAAGAAATCCACAGTGTTCGACGTGGGATTCAACAATCTAACAGGCCCAATCCCACACTCGTTTCAGTGCTTAAAGAAAATGGAACTTCTGAACTTGGCTCACAATAAGTTCTACAACGAGGTGCCGGAGGCCGTGTGCAGCTTACCAGGGCTATATAATTTCACTGCATCGTATAATTATTTTACTCAGGTTGGGCCACAGTGTCGGAAGCTGATCAAGAACGGGGTGCTTAATGTCAAGATGAACTGCATTTCGGGTCTCCCAAATCAAAGATCACAGGCTGATTGTGCTAAATTCTTCTCAAATCGTCCTACTTGCCGACGTGAAAAATCTTTGCATTATGTACCTTGCACCAGAGGGAACTCTGCTAATGAATTGGAGTCCTCCGATCTTGAGTCAACTACTCCAGCGCCGGCGCCCGCTCCACTAGGGAGAAGTTATGGTGCTCTTACGCCGCATTAATTAATCTTGATGCGTATGATGGGATCTAAATTGGTGAAAATGAACGACTTTTGCTGTTTCTTGCATCGTTATTTATGTAAAAATAATTGGCAATGTTCGTCATCGAGTACGGTTGATTTGATTTTCTGATTTGTGTGATGAGTATGATTATTAGTCTGTAAACTTTTAATGATATATATGTGTGATCATATGCTCTCTTAATTTTATATCAGGAATAATGCAACTGAAAAAGGTTTATGCACACGTAAAAATATAAGCAATAAGTTTGGGCGAATCATATACGATTAACAAAACAACAATATTTCAGAAAATATTCACGTATTCCAGGAAAAAAGTTTCAAGAAAATTGCTAATTGAACTCAGTCTCCTCATACAAAATTAAAATATTTATTATTTGTAAAATGTGTTTGAAATGCTCCAAAAAAATCCGAGCGCAATTATCATGAAGCTCTTGTGATCGAATAATTGAAAACATATAAAGTAAGTACGGATAATGTTTAGGGTTTTAGAGGAAAAGAGAATGGATTCGTGACCTGTGCAATCTTCATTGTATTTCTTTATTGGCCATCCAAGAAACCAAGAAAAAGAGCTTCATTGATTTGAGAATCAAGTCTTTGTGGGGTAACTTCAATTTTGATTTCAACTTTGTTGGAGCGAAAGGGAAAGCTGGTGGTCTGTTGGGTGTTTGGGATCCAACAATATTCTTGCGGATCAAAACTTTCTCTTTCGATGAATTCATCTTGATCGTTGGAGTGTGGATTGGAAACGATAAAGACGTGAGCGTGATTAATGCCTACGGTCCTCTATTCGAGCCTAAAAAATTGATACGTGGCATTCCATTTCGGCTATGTTGTTGTGAGGCTTTTATTGAGTGATTTTTATGTCATCGGGACTTCAACGAAGTGAGATGAAAGAATACGTTGAAGATTCCATAAGAAATAAACATATGTTTTTAACAGTTTTATATGACGTGAGATGAAAAAATACGTTCAAGATTCCATAAGAAATACTCAAATAAGCATATGCATTTCAGAGTTTTATATGGGTTCAAAGGTTAGAAGATCTTTCATCATGGCTGTAGACAATTAACATAAGTCAACAAAAAGCAAAAATAAAATGGTCGGTGGATGGTGATAAGAACTCACATTTCTTTCATGGAGCATTGAAAAGCAAAAATAGGAAGAACAGATTGCATGACTTGATCATAAACGGAACATGGAACACTGAACCCGTGGAGATTAAGAAGGAAATACACAGATTTTTTGAAGATAAATTTAAAGAAAGGTGGCTAATTAGACCAAAGTTACTATGTCAGGGTCTTAAAATGATTTCTCAGTCAGAGTCTGAATGCCTCGAGTCCCCGTTCACGACTGAGGAAATAAAAAATGCTATATGGAGTTGTGGTGGCGACAAATCCCCAGGTCCTGACGGGTATACCTTCAATGTACTGAAAAAGCAATTGGAGTTAATGAAGCATGATATCATTCGGTTTGTGCTCCACTTTGAAAGACATGGCACCTTCTCGTATGGTTGCAATGCATCATTCATCACACTTATACCGAAAATTAAAGATCCATTGCTTCTGGGAGACTATAGACCTATCAACCTTATTGGTTGTATCTATAAGATAGTGTCCAAAATTCTTGCATCAAGATTAAAACAGGTGGTGGGATCTGTTGTCGGGGAGGTACAGTCAGCATACATTGAGGGGAGGCATATATTGGAGGGTCCATTAATGGTCAACGAAGTCTACTCTTGGGCAAAGAAAACAAAAGATAAATTATTTATGCTCAAAATCGACTTTGAAGAAGCTTTTGACTCGATAAACTGGTCCTACTTGGACTCTGTGATGGAACAGATGGGTTTCAGCAACAAATGGCGTTCGTGGATTCAGGGGTGTCTTAAAACCTCCAGAGCATCTGTGCTGGTTAATGGTTCTCCAACCGACGAATTTGAAATCACCAAAGGTGTTAGGCAGGGAGACCCGCTCTCATCTTTTCTCTTTATAGTAGCTATGGAGGGTCTCAATCAAGCCATCAACAGTGCAATTGAAAAGAAACTCATAACCGGCATCACACTACCCAACAACGGACCTTCAATCTCGCATCTATTTTATGCCAACGATGCTATTTTTATGGGCAAATGGGATGTTGGCACCATCAAAAATCTTGCAAGAATTCTGAAATGTTTTCATATTAGCTCAGGCCTAAAGGTAAACTTTCAAAAATCACGGTTATTTGGTATTGGTGTCTCGGATGTTGACCTTCAACGTCAAGCACAAGTTCTAGGTTGTATTCAAGGAGAGTTTCCATTCAATTATCTTAGTGTGCCCGTGGGGGCAAATATGTCATTAAAAAAACACTGGAGACCAATAATCGAAAAGTTTTAGTCACGACTATCAGTTTGGAAAGCAAAAACCTTATCTTTCGGTGGTCGTCTCACATTAATCAAATTTATACTCAATAGTCTTCCCACTTATTACTTCCCCCTTTTTAAAACACCTGAGGGGATCATTAATGAACTGGAAAAACTTCATAGACGATTTTTGTGGGGTGGTGATGATCTGAAATCTAAGATACATTGGGTTTCATGGTCAAATATAGTGGCTGCCAAAGTTGATGGAGGTTTGGGGGTAGGGACCTTGAAGGCGCAAAACCTTGCATTGCTAACTAAATGGTGGTGGAAAACTAGGACTGGAGATTCCTGTTTGTGGAAAAAGTGCATAACTGCTATACACAACTTAGCCAAGAAACCGGTCACTGTTATTGCAAAGAAATCGTTCAATGGTACCTGGTGTAATATTGCTAAAGCTATTAAGTCCCTTCCAACATTTGATGTTAATCATCATGAGTTATTCACTTTAATTCCAGCTTCCAAAAACAGTTTTTTGTTTTGGAAAGATAGGTGGTATGGTGAATTAACACTCCAAGAGCGTTTTCCTAGACTGTACAATCTAGAAAAAGTCAAATTATGCTCAATTGTGGATCGAATTCAAACGAATGGTTTCAATTGGAAATGGAAAGTGCAACAAATGGATGATGAGACGTTGACTGATCTGGACGAAATATGCTCCTTACTTAGTAATACCTGCATGATTCCTGTCAACAATGGTTTCCGATTCACCTTAAACTCAGATGGGAATTATACGGTTAACACTTTAAGAAGACTGTTAGATTCTAAATCAACAGTCTCACAACATGGTGTTCGTATTGATTGGTCTAAGGTGGTTCCACTAAAGATTAGATGTTTCATTTGGAGAGCAATGACAGATAAGATTCCAGTGGCCTCAAACTTGGAAGTTAGAGGTATCAAACTGCAATCAATCACGTGTCTGATGTGTAGCACAGAACGAGAAACTACCGATCACCTGCTAATAAAATGTAAAGTGGCGAAGGAGGCACGTGAGTGGATCTTCAAATGGTGTCAGATATCTGCCCCTCAATTCAACAACGTGACATAATTCTTACACTTTGTGGCAAATTGGGGTAATTGTCCACGGAAAAAGGAACGACTGAATGCAGTAGCATACGCATTCTTATGGTTCATTTGGATGGCTAGAAACAACAAGGTGTTGAAACAAACAAGGATGTGGCCGGCACAAATTGCGGATGAGGTGATCTCCCAAACATATACGTGGTACAAATATAGAACTACTCAGGTGTTGAATAGGTGGATAGATTGGAGTATATGGCCCATTCTATATTATAGTATATTTTCTTGTTAACTTTTTGTTAACTTTTTGTATTACGATATTTTCTTGTATTTGCTCATGTTTTTAGCTACTTGCTAAGCATGTGGCCCATTCTATATTATAGTATATTTTCCGTTTCAAAAAAAAAAGATTAGTAAGTTGGACAGTTTCCTTGTTGGAAATTGATCCACACTGAAGAATCATGTTTGCTAACCTGATTTGAAGCGGAAATATAGCATTAGGAATCTTGAAGACTTTATTTTGAGTAAATAAGAGAATTTTTCTTCATGATTTGTAGGTTTAGTTGTTGTCTCTTAGCAATAAATAAGTTGTTTCCCTCTTATATTCATCATCACGGCAGATGATCAATAAAAGCAATAATCATTTTACTGCATTCAATTTTGCCAACATAGCCTGGTTCTCACTACAAGAAATAAGATAATTATCGCGACGTTATTAACAGCGACACCGACTTTTAGCGGCGATTCAAGCTTAAGTCGCCGTTAATAACGTCGACGATAATGCTTTGGGACCGAATCCACACTAACACATTCTGGTAAATCTCAATCGTTCGATCGATGATTTAATCCAACGACTAGAGTTCATACTTGCACAAATTTAATACGGGCTTAAAATTGTCGACGTTAAAGGTGGAAAAAAGACGCGATAACCTTCCCTCCACAATTGTCGCCGCTGTTGATGTTTGTCACCGCTAAAGGGTTAAATGTTGTTGGCAAATGTGTCGTCGGTATTGGTGTTCGCAGATAACAAAAAAAAACCACGCTTGCTCTTCACATTCTGCTTCTTTCGCTTCCATATGCTCTCGTTTTTTTCTTCCCCGTTTCTATTCATCAATGATTGATTCGGCAAACAAGGAGATTCTGATGAAGACGAACTCCCCATTCTGAGATTACCGACGAAGGGGAATATCAATTTCCGGCAAAAACCTGTGCATCTCCGGTGACGGTAGGCTTCAACTTCTGATTTCTCTTTCTCTTTCTCTTGTAACATCGATTTCCAGCTCCACCTTGTGATTAATTGCAAAATAATTTTCAATTTCAACTTCTTCTTTTTGTCTCTTTGTCTTGGTCAACGCCGGGTACTGTCACCACCGAGGACCACCACCACCACTACACCATCTCTTAAATTCCGGCCACCGCATGTTCTGTTTACTATGAATTTCAAGATTTTATTGCAATTATGTGTGTTTTATATATTATGTCGAATTTGGCATATGTGTGTATAAATTGTGTATACATGTGAAAGTATTTATATTTGTGGTATCTATGTGTGTACAATACATATATGA